TTGACCGTTCACAAAAAGAATTAAAGGGACCTTAAAAAAAAAGAATTGAATTGACCGTTCACAAAAAGAATTAAAGGGACCTTAAAAAAAAAAAAATGAATAGACCGTTCACAAAAAAAATTAAAAAAACATTAAAAAAAAAAAAATAAAAAAGAAAAAAAAAAAAAAAAAAAAAAAAAAACATAAAAAAAAAAAAAAAAAATAAAAAAAAAGAAATGAATTGACAGTACAAAAAAAGAATTAAAGGGAACTTAAAAAAAAAGAAATGAATTGACCGTTAACAAAAAGAAATAAAGGGACCTTAAAAAAAAAAAGAATTGAATTGACCGTTCACAAAAAGAACTAAATTTAGCATTAAAAAAAAAAAGAGTAAACAGTAGCCATCATCAATAAAACAATCAAACATAACCTTTAGAAAGTTCAATCTTTGCCTAATCAAACACACTAGAAGAATGTGGTGCAAAGTTGACATAACATCGAGAACTTAGGTCTTCATTTCGACTCTTCTATTCCAGTTACATCGACTTCATGCTTCTGATGGCTTACAACTACCACGGTCAGTGGGAGAAGAAGACCGGACATCACAGTGGACTCTACCGTCATAAAAATGACCCGAAGACGGGCGAAAAGTCACAACTGTATCAGGTACGTCCAGGCATCTGGTTAAATTTAATATATTTCACGTCAGACCCAGTTCCCCAAAGAGGGCAACCGTTATCCACGCAACAGCAATCCATATGATAGCAATCGATATAACAAGCAATCTATGTAACACCAATCCATGTACCGGGAATTATTTTAACAGTATTTCATATAACAAGTAATCCATATCACAGAAATCCATAAAACAAGCAATCCCTATAAAAGCAATCCATGTAAAAAGTCACCTTGTTGATGGAAAATTCGTGATAAAATAAAACAAAACTGACATCAAGAAATTAAACAGTTATCTCCAATCGGGCTTGCAAAAAAAAAAAAAATAAAAAAAATATAATATAAAAAATGGTCTAATTTCTCTCACCCCTGCCTCTGTATTTACATGACTCAACGTCCTCTCCTCACCTCATAATTTACTCACATTTCTTATGTCCTTTATTCAAATTCTCACCATTCACATTGTTGCATAACGTTAGAATCCAGCTTTCCCCGAAATATGTGACGCAATAAGTTGTTGATTATGTAACACTATTAAGGTACAACGTTTTACAACGTGGAAGAAATAAACTGCCCAAAAATAAGTTCTACTATTTTCAACTCTAACTCCATTATATTTATGATTTAAATGAAACTCAATGAAGCTACTTTAAACACACATACCCCGGTAACTAAAACATTGATTATTTCAACATTTAAAAAAGTTGATTTTTTTGACTTGATGGTGGCTACAATTTCGCAAACATAATGTTGATCTTCAGGAATGGTCGATCGACTACTGGCTGGATGTTGGAATCGCTAAGGAAAAGCTTATCATCGGCATCCCTACCTACGCCATGACCTTCACCCTTGCCGACGAATCAAGACACGGCGTGCACGCGCCAGTTGCGGGTGGGGGCAAGATGGGAGAGTTCACAAAAGAGACGGGCATCCTGGCCTACTACGAGGCAAGTGATGTTTTAACAAAAAAAAAAATTTGAACCAGTCAGACATTTATATTTACATATAACATTATTATCACAAAATGGTAGTTTTACGGTACGTATGTTCGCGAGGGGAAAAACTCACAATATCATTGTTGTGACTATTAGCATGTCGCTTCCTATTATGTTTGATAATTATTCGCCAAACGACCTTCAGGTCATGTCACCTGCGAGAGGTCCAATTTTTGGGGCGGGTCAACACGCCCCCTCCACAAACAACTCCGCTTGTATGTATCACATTACAACATTTTTGAGTTGTGTCCCATACATTGTATTGACACGGCTTCAAATTGTGAGAACATATGATCAAGAAAGGATGATTAAAAACTACTAACAATTTGAGGCAATGAAATTTAATATATTGCCTGAAGATGTTACCTTTCCGGAAAGTGGGGCAGGTGCCCCCCCCCCCCCAAGACTTTATAAAAACCATACATAATTTTATCCAATAGAGTTACATTTATGTAGATTGATATCGATGCAGACTGTATCCACAAGTGAGCTAACTTTTCATGTGCGTCTTCTTTTTCCAGATCTGTTTGAATCTTAGGGACAATGGCTGGAAGTCCGAATGGATTAATGACCAGCTGGCCCCGTACGCATACGGAGGTGACCAGTGGGCAGGCTATGAGAACAAAAGGAGCATTACCTTGAAGGTGCATTACAATGCTTTGCTTGACTGGGCTCTTGATATAATCATAATTTAACATGGGAACAAGTGTCAGAGTCAAATAGCTTCTAAATTGAAGGCCCCCAACTTCATGATTAAATAAACATGAACTATTTCAGTTGTACCATCAAACATGAACAATTTTTGTTGTACCATCCAAAATGAACTATTTTAGCTGTACCAACCATTTTGAAAAAAAACAACGAAATCTGTGTTTCCAAAGAACAATATTTTAAAATTATTATTTTAAAAACGTTAACAGTAAACTCTTTTCAAAATTTTACTTCTAAGAAAGAAGTCTTAAGAACATTTAATGTATAAAATATCTTTCACTGTCCTACAACAAATCTACTCACATCTATCTAGTCTAACTGTGTTGGGAGACCCAGCTACGTTTGTGTACTAAATGAGAGCATTAGTGTCACATCATAGAACAGCACATGATCACTAAGACTCATTTCTCACTGAAATTCCCTCTATGATTTGTCAATAGGCCAACAACATTATGAAACGTGGGCTGGCCGGAGCCTTCGTGTGGTCAGTTGAGATGGACGACTTCAGCAACACGTGTGGCGATGGACAGTATCCCCTGTTGTCTACTATCAATGACATCATCGGGGACTCTTTGGTAAGCAAAGAAATCTATTTATAGAATTTAAACATTTTCCATATCTGTTTTCAAGCTGTCTTAGTTATTCTTTCAGTTGGCTTGGGCAGCTGTGTATGGTTAGAAATTCCCTCATCACATACAAATATCCAAAAAATACAAAAATCCCTCCCTTATACATAAACCCACCTCCTTCAATCCCGTTCTCTCTCCCTCCCTCACCCTCTCTTGCCCATTCTCTCTTTCTCTCTCTTCTCTCTTTCTCCCATCTCTCTCTCCTCTCCCTTTCTCCTCTCTCTCTCCTCTCTCTCTCTCTCTCTCTGAATCTCTCTCTCTCTCTCTCTGACTCTCTCTCTCTCTCTCTCTCTCTGACTCTCTCTCTCTCACACACAGGAACATACGCAACATTCATTAATAAAGACTTAGACACATTAATACACACACAAATCTCCAAAATACACACAATCTCAATTATACACACATTCTCCAACACACACTGGTGGTCATTAGTAAAAGATCTCCCTTCAGAGAAGATTCATTCCAATTCCAAAATGTAAAATTCTACGAACGAGTTTTACAAAAGTTAAAAATTCTGAAGCTCTTTGATTTAAATGTTTTGTTCCAAACGTAAACGTACACACATTTTATTTCCTGCAGTCGAAATCAGCCGCCAGTCCGTCTGAAGCCCGTCTTAAACCGCAGGGAGGTTCTGAAATCGGGACCCACAAAGAAGACAACATAAACAAGCTGACCAAGGCACCTGGCCAGTCACGTGATAAATCTAAGCCGAAATCCAGGCACCAGAAGCTGGGAATGACGCGTCCCTTCTGGATGGTTCAGGTCAAGGAGAAATCTGACCAGGAATCAAAGGGAGGCAACGAGGACAGTCTTAAGGGAAACCTGGAAATTACATCAGTTACTTCCCCGTCACCACAAGTAGAAGCTGTCCAAAAAGAACCAGCTACGACCGCCCAAAAATCAGACCCCATGGCCGTCCAAAAATCAGACCCCATGGCCGTCCAAAAATCAGACCCCATGGCCGTCCAAAAATCAGACCCAACGGTCGTCCAAAAATCAGAACACACGGCCGTCCAAAAATCAGACCCCACGGCCGTCCGCAAAGAGAAAGAACCAAAAGTTCGCTGGTGGAATGTGGCTAGTTTAAAGAAGAAACCCACCTGGAGGCCGACAGCTGCAGAGCCCGCATCTGGACTTGAACTGTCCAAAGACTCAACACAAGCATCCAATGGTAAGAAACATCATCTTCCTTTAAAGATGTTTTAAAACTATAATCGATCACTATGGTTACCTGAAATGTGAACGGAACCAATTTTTACGGCAGAATTTATATTTAGAAAATGTTTTTCCAATGGATGCTTCTTCCAAATACAATTTGTTCAATATTAAATTATTTATAATTTTTTAAAATCATACTACCTCATCAAATAATTTCTTTTGGAAAACAAAAAACAAAACAGCACACACTATAAAATAAAATTTACTGCACACTTTCAATACCGAAAACAATTTTGTTTTAACATCAAAACGGATCGAACAGCAGTCCTTTGTACAAATTTGTTCCGTACAAATTATTCTCTTATTAGCTTCAGGATACAGATATTAATCATGTTCGCATTTCATAAAATATATTCCTTATACGGAACTCGGCGCTAATTTTTTGTATACACTAAATTTTATTATCAGAAATAAGGCACCTCCTTTCAATGTAGTAGTAGCATGTCAATAAGAACTTGTATTATTTAGCTTTAGGTTAAGGTAATGAGACTAATTATTTACCTGCAGGTTGACAATACCCTTACCCGAACTAACCCGTACTTAGCAAGAAATTTTTATTAGTCTGTAGTAAGACCTCACTTCTATCAAATCAAGACACAATCGAAGCCGGTTTTTAAGACTTTCTAAAAAGACACAATCCTTTCTTTTCGATTTCCTCAAGTAACTTTATTTTTAAGACATTCTCATAAGACACTCGCCTTTCATTCCATTTCCTCAAATTAATGAATTCTTTTTAGTGTCTTTTTTTTTTTTTAAATTCTAAGTTAAATAAAATGATTTTTTGTTTACAGATGACACGGCTGTACACCAAGTTTCCAACGAATGGAAGAAGAATGGGAGAACTTTGATCAAACCATGGCCTGGAGTCTTATCAGGATCACGTGGTCAGAAGTCGCACCAGAAGTCACTGATATTGGGGAGTGTTGATGACATCAAAACATTCCCGGCAGATCATGTTAAAGGAACTCCCGGCACAAAAGGTAAAGAGAGTAACCTCGTCATATTGGACGTGAATGACGTCATCATTACTGTTGGAAAGGGCGCTATGAACACTGAAGCTAATGACGCCATCAAAACTCTTGGCAAGAGTGTCTTCGAACCGGAAGTGAATAACGTCATCAAGCCTGAAGGGAATGGCATCTACAGAACGAAAGGAAATGGCGGGCGCAGACCCAACTTAAATGACGTCATAAGAAATCACTTGAATAAAGTTTTTTCACCAGCAGTTGTCAAGGACGAGACCATCAAAATGGAGGATACAGAAGATGCTCGTATTGAAGAGGATGAAGAGGACATGACGTCACAGGAGTCGTCTGAAGAAATTGCCAGTGACTCAGAGTCATCCAACACTGTAGTGGAAGGTCAGTTTTGAGATTCCCTTCCTAATCTTAATTCTATAAACATCTCATTCTCCTCTCTCCAGTTTCCTTTCTTTAGTCTTTATCGACTTATTTAAAAAACACATTTCTTCTTTCCTTCACTTTAAAGTTGATATTCTTATTTATCTCCTTGTCTTTAGACTTCCTTCACACACTATTTCTCTAAAGAAGTCTTTATTTATTTATTTCTCTCTTCCTTTCTGTCATTTATATACTTTTATTCTTACATTTCTTTTCTCTTCCATGGATTTTACAATAGGGCGCAAGCATTTTATATTCATGAGCTGTTCTTCTGCAGAGGAAAATAAAATGTTATGGCAATTATGAATGTATATTAATTTAATGGACTTTCGACAAATATCAGCTCAATAGTTTGATGGACATATAACTTATATCAACTGAATAGTTTGATGAACATACAACATATATTAACTCAATAGTTTGTCGAACATATAACACATATCAACGGAATGGTTGGATGAACATATAACATATGTGAACTCAATAGTTTGGCTAACATTTAACATATAACAGCTCAATAGTTTGAAGGAAATATAACATATATCAACTCAATAGTTTGATGAACATATAGACATATAAAATCTATCAACTCAGTAGACTTTTAGCCTGCTCTAGCCTTGATATTCATCCCTCTGTCTCTCTCCATGTTCTTTTTTTATCCACATTCTTCTTCCCAAAACCATCTCCTATACTATGTTCTAGTTATCCCCATGATAAAATCTAGTCATTTTATTTCATTTTTTAATCGGGTCATGACTTTCCCTTTCAACCCTCCCCCCCCCCCACCAACATGACGTCACTGATAACTAACACACAAAGTTTTCCCATCTTACAGCGAGAAATGACGTCTGCCGGAAGCATGGCGCCGGAGCTTTCGCCGACCCCTTGACCTGTGACCACTTCATCATCTGCATGTCCGGCCACTTCTTGGGCGTACCCCCTCACGTCATGGCGTGCCCGGTGGGAACGAGGTTCGACGCCAACCTCAAAATCTGCAACTACGCGTCCACCGTGGAGTGCACCAAATGAACGTGATCAAGATGGGTGGCGTGCAATAAAGAGGTGGAAATTTGTTGGTTGCTTTCTTCATATCATCATTACGTGCAATGAACGTTGAGGGGAATTATTTGACCCATGTGCAATTATTTGTTTGACCGGTGAATGTGATATTTGTTTGACCACTGAATGTGATAGTCTGACCAGTGAATGTAATATTTGTTTAAGCCATTGTATGTTAAGCAGATATTTTTAGTTTTTTTTTTTTTAAAATCGTGAGATAGTTCTAAACCAGCGTCAGATCTTTTACTGTTGAAACGGAGAGGGGTAATTGAGAAACACTGGTTAAAAGTGGCGGGTGCAGCCAAAAAAGTCATTGGATTTCTTGTGTCCCTGTTCCATGTCAGTAAAGCCTTACTCCTGTCAGTCAGGTCGATAGCGCTGTCACTCATGCTAAGCCCTGCTGAACAGCTACAGCATGTCATTTGTGCTGCATCCATATCACCAACCCTTTAATGATGCTTCAACCCTACCCAGCCATGTAACAGCGCTGTCAGCCAATGTAACAGCCCTGTCCGTCATGTTACGCCCCTGTCAGTCAAGCTACAACATGATAAGCTACACGAGCCCCCATAACCATCCCTAGGTTGCACGGGGTATTTTGTTTAATGTAACGGGGACGCCTTGTACATTTCTAAAAAAAAATATGGCCTGCCTTTGATTTGATGGGAGCGTGTGGTCTCCATTATTAACTCACCTTAAAGCAGCGGTTCTCATCATGTGGGTCGCGACCCATTTGGGGGTCAAACGACTCTTACACAGGGGTCGCCTAAGACCATTGGAAAACATGAGGTAGCAACGATTTGAAGTAGAAATTAATGGTTGACGGTCACCCTAACACAAGGATCTTTATGAAAGGGTCACTGGATTAGGAAAGTTGAGAACCACTACCTTAAAATGACTGTTGCTTACCACTGCCTTATATAATCTATCTAAGCATATTCATTGTAAATATACATTCACATTGTGATATTATATACATTTTCTCTATATCCTTTATACTCACTCATATGTACTGATTTAATTATACGTACTATGTAAATATGTAATATAACTGACGTCACCGCTTAGTGCTACCTGATAGGTACCTGATGATACTCTGGGGGGTGGGGAGAGCGGGTGGTGTGATGAAATGTATAAATGTATATCGAGTGTGTGTGAGGGCGTATGTCTTAAGACGTGCGTAACTGCGCGTGAATTTGTGTGAGTGTCTGTGTATTTGGAGTAAGTGTGCGCATTTGGGGGCTCCTTTTGATGCTGCTGTTTAACACTGAATGCCAAAAGTTATAAATATGTAATTAAACATAAAGATGAATAAAGCAATACATTTTGTTCGGTACTGAACGATAAGACTGTAATATAAATGGAAGAATCTGTTGTTAACTATTTATTCACTAGTTTAATCTCATTTTTAAATGTGGACACATAACCTTTGTAATCATTGCAATCAATATTATGAAAATATTATTTAGTGCAGAATTGAACATTTAAAAATATTATCTAGTGCAGAATTGAACATTTTGAAAATATTTTCAAGTGCAGAATTGAACATTTGAAATTATTTTTTTAGAGCGGAATTGAACATTTCGCAGCTATTATTTAGTGCAGAATGGAACATTTTGAAATTGTCTTTAGTACAAATTGAAAATTTTGAAATACTATGTAACATTATGCTTAAAATTAAATGAAATAAATAATCTAATACATTTTGAAAATTTTTTGTTGATTTTTTTCCTTCTATATTCGAACAATCCAAAGGAAAGAATTATGTTTATTCTCAACACCACCCCATAAACACAAGATATACACTTGTCAGTGATTTGTGTCAAATATATGACACTTTGTGGATACCCACATTTTTAACACTTAGAATAATATGATAACAGTAAATAGTGAGACAAGGAATGTTTAGGCTTGAAAAGATAAGACAGGGCGATTAATCGGACGTTTCGACAAGATGCCGTCTTCAGCAGACAATACAATTCAAGAAACAGCATGCCCCTTTTTACCAAGAAACAAAAGATACTTTAAATTTGAGTCTTCTAAAGTTTGACGTTGTTCCCAAGTTTAAAAAAAATAAAATATCAGAGCTTTCTTAATATTGGAGATAAAGAGTTAAAATGTGCGGTTTTGTTCTGATTAAGCAAAGCTCTATCTAGGGGAATTGTTGGATTTTATTTTATTTCCTTATGGAATTTTCACAGATATGATGATTAACAAGGGAGTTAAGTGAGGTGAAAATTATGACTTGTAATTTATAGAGTATGTCGACTTGGTAAGACGAACCAATGAGTGAGAAGTTAGAAAAAAAGAAGATGGAGTCATGGCGGTTATTATAAGTCCATGTCAATAATATTATTTGATAAGATAATGAATAGATTGTGATTGTGACGTTATCAAGTGGAGAAGATTCATTTTAAGTGTTCTTTAAGATCAGTACAAGTATTATCTATTTTTGTTTATTATTGTGATAAAGTATTAATAAAGGATAGTCGCTAGATTTCGTTTGAATACACAACGCCTCTGTTGTTGATAGATAGTATTGTTGTAGACTGGGCACTGTGAGTGATTGTAGACGTGACAGGAATTTTCATTTAGAATACCTAATTAAAAGCAATTGACAAACAAGTTCAACATTCAGATCTGGAACCCTGCCATTTTATTATTAAATCCTACCCGTAGCAACGTCAAATTTGTTTTAGAAAAAATATCTTTTTATTATAATAAAGTAATCATAAAATAAACTCAGATTTCTGCTCATGCGCAATGAGGTACACATTATATTTTATGAGATAATAAAAATTCTATGGTAATCAACATTTCAAAGCTGTACAACGAAATAGAGTTGTACACACAGTTTATTATTTTTTTTTCTGAAGAGATGAACATCACATTGAATGTATCTTCACAGTATAGCTATCTTTACAATAAAGATACCTTCACACTAAAGGTGCATTTACACTAAGGCTACTTTAAATACACGGAACATATGTCTAATGTTTAATCTCAAACTCAAACATTATGGTCCAGATGACAAAGTTACTTCTAATCAAAGATTTGACACGTCTTTAAGGAAAGATAACTTTCAATATTTAGTGTACTCTTGACAACGTGGCACTTCATTCTAAATAACAGAGAGTTTCGTCCCTTTAGCAGCCCCCACACAACACAAACCTTGCTAATGATTTACAAGTTTGTTAATTGAACTAAATGGTTGAAAATCTATCTCTGTATCTGTCTTTATGCCTCTTTCTCTCTCCGTCTCTGACTCTTTTTCTCTCTGTCTTGGCCTCTCTCTGTCTTTGTATATTTCTGTTTCTCTCTGTCACGCTCTCTGTCAAGTTCTCTGTCACGCTCTCTGTCACGCTCTCTGTCACGCTCTCTGTCACGCTCTCTGTCACGCTCTCTGTCACGCTCTCTGTCAGTCTATTTCTGTCTCTTATTCAGACTTGAAACTTTGTTTCATTACGTCACACCCAGTCCGCCTCTTTCGACACCTAACAAAAATAAGCCATGTCGTCGCCAGACAACCCATAATCTCCAGTCTTACATGAGTACGTCGCGATGTCCACTTTCTAGTCCTGTCTGAACTGTGGTGAGTACATGGTCTTGATGACCCCTTGGTGAGTATATGGCCCCGATGACCTGTTGGTCAGCCCTGGACGTATTGCTGTTCAGTAGAGCTCTCATTGTCTTTTTATAGATTTGATGAACAGCCTGAACGTGAATAGTTTAAAAAAGGGAAACGACATAAAAAAGTTAAACGAAATCATTATTATAGTATCATTAATTAATCTATCACATAGTGGGCATTAATTCATTTAAGATTGTGTGTTTGAATTTCGGTAATAGGAAATACAGGGCAAGGGAAAATGGGGGACACATTTTTAAAAATTAAAGAAAGGCTGTGTTGGCAAAACGCCTTCTTATCAAGAGCAGTGCAAGGTTAAAACAATAATTACATCTCATGGGGCTAGAAGCAGCGCAATCACCGAGGGAAACAGAATTGTAATAGATGAAGAAGTTAGATTAAGAAATTTAGTGATAGCGGAAGTACGCATTGGTCGGAACTACACATAAGTTGGAAGCACACATAGATTTGGAATTACACATAGTTGGAAGTACACGTGGGTTGAAATTACACATAGGTTGAAAGTACACATACGTTGGAAGTACAATTAAGTTGGAAGAAGACATAGATTAGGAAGTACACATAGGTTGAAAGTACATATAGGTTGGAAGTACACAAGAATAGGGACGATGAAAAGGTAAACAAGTCAAAGAAATTATTATTTAGCATACATTAAATTGATATGCAAATTATTCAAATGCAACATCAGTTTAATATAAAAATTAACCATTTAAACACACGTTTTTCGTATCAATGCAGACACACACATATATTTATATATATACACACACAAACTAGATAAAGACCGACAAACATTGGTGACAGGAATGCGTGAAATTCCCATCTAGTAAAGTTATTGACAAAACATGTACTCAATTAAATCACATTTGAGAATCCACATTTTTTTACACGCCCCTTCCCCTATGATACGCCACTGCACACTTTTTATTTCACGCCCATGAACTATATGAAATATTATGATGTCCATTAAATATCCTGATGTCCCAACCAATTTTCAACCAAATATTGTAAAACAATACTTAAATTTAGACGATTTCATGTAATTGGATATTAAGGAGATATTGGATTAAGAAATTGGAGATTACGGAGATATTGATTTAAGGAATTGCAGATAAAGGTTACAATGAATTTTAATTTTTCAGTTTAAAGAAATATTGGA